ATGACCTCTCGAGGTCCCTTCCAGTCCTAGAATCTATGAATCTATGCATATCAGCCCAGCTGAGACCCCACCTTGAAACTCCTTGGGCCAAAAAAAGCCTTCTGTCACTGAGCCAGTGCAAGCTATACTAAGCTTGTCTCAAATGGAAGTTACTCTTGGCATGGTTTACTGTAACCTCTTCCCCATTTGACTAATGATGGTGGAATGGAAATAGTTCTTATCAAGTCCCTCTAATATTTTTTCCCTCTTCTTTCCATAGGATGTGATGGAGCTCTTAGAGGAAGACCTCACCTGTCCCATTTGTTGTGGCTTGTTTGAAGATCCTCGGGTTTTACCTTGTTCTCACAACTTTTGCAAGAAGTGTTTGGAGGGGATCCTAGAGGGAAATGTCCGGAGTGTGGTCTGGAGACCACCCCCACTTTTCAAGTGTCCTACCTGCCGGAAGGAAACTCCTGTTACAGGAATCAACAATTTACAAGTCAACTACTCCCTGAAAGGTATTGTGGAGAAGTATAACAAAATAAAAGTAACTCCCAAAATGCCCATGTGTAAGGTGCACAATGGGCAGCCCCTCAACATTTTCTGCCGGACAGATATGCAGCTGATATGTGGTGTCTGTGCCACTCGAGGTGACCACACAAAGCATGTATTTTGCTCCATTGAAGATGCCTATTCACAGGAGAAGCGTGCTTTTGAAACCCTGTTTCAGGGCTTTGAAACATGGCGTTGTGGGGATGCGCTCTCCCGGCTAGACACCTTGGAAACAAGCAAGAGGAAAGCGCTGCAGATGCTGACAAAGGACTCAGACAAAGTGAAAGAGTTCTTTGAGAAGCTGCAGCACACACTGGAGCAGAAAAGAAATGAGATTCTGTCTGATTTTGAGACCATGAAGCTTGCAGTGATGCAGGCCTATGACCCAGAAATCAATAAACTGAACACAATTCTACAAGAGCAGCGAATGGCTTTTAACATTGCAGAAGCCTTTAAGGATGTGTCTGAGCCCATTATATTTCTGCAACAGATGCAGGAGTTCAGGGAAAAAATCAAAGTGATCAAGGAAACCCCTCTGCCTTGTTCCAGTGTAGACATCAATCCCACAATAAAGAACTTCGATACCAGCCAGTGGGATGGTATAAAGCTAGTAGATGTGGACAAGCTTTCTTTGCCTCAGGAAAACAGCATGCTTAATTTCAAGATTTCCTCAGTCTTTTCACACAAATTTATAGTGACTTCTCTGATTTGCTTATTTATCCTTGGAGCCACCAGAATGACCTTTGTGGAATCTGTCTTTGACAATCTTCAATACTGGAAAACTCAACTTTTTACAATTGGCTCATCCTATCTGGCAGACACTGCAGAGATAGCTGACCATGCCGTGTTTTACTGGGAGCAAATGACAGATGGAGCTTCACTTCTAAGTGAAAAGTGCAAAAATTATACACTAGTGGTATTGGATAATGTTGCACAATTTGTGTGCAAATATAAACTGTTATAATGTCCACTACCAAAGCACAAATTCAGAAGCCCAAGAAGTGAACAGAACTCTAGTGCAGAAAACTTAACAGTGCATGCACAGTTTTAAAAAAACCTTTGGCTTCTGATGGAAGCATTTAATACTCAGAATGTTTACTGAGTTATTGTTCGTGTAGTTCAAGCACGGATATATGCTGGAAGGTAAAACCGAACTTTGGAAAAACATACTTTTGCTTCGGAGATCTTGTTTCAAAATGTTTTTGAGAATAATGCACTTCCTTGCTCTAACCAAAATATAAGGCAAAACTAACCATGTATATAGTCAAATACTAATATAGCTGTATTAATGATTTTACATGTCCTAGAGTAAAAAGGGCTGATCCCTAAATGCATCAACATTTTTTGTTGTGGGAGGTTCTTTGAAATTAGGAAGGACACTTCTGATTGCTAAGAGAGGTGGGCTGCAAAGTTTGCCTAAGACTGGCCATCCATTGCAAAATACAGAGTGGTACTTTAACTCTTTGGAATCTCTTCATAACTGAAGATGTTAAATTTCACTGATTCCTCATCCTGGGTATACGCAGTACTATATATACACTGGATATTGATTACTGGGTTTATTTAAAAAAAAAAAAAAAAAAAAGTCTTCAGGGCAGTGGCCTCGAACAAATTGCAATAGGAAAGAGAAACAAGTGGAAGTGAGTGGGGCAGAACAAGCTGCAAGGTGCTCTTATATGCTGTGCAATGACACTTTTCCAGCTATAGCCCTGTCAAGGGATTGAGCTATCTTCATGTTGGATTTGTGGTTTGTTTGTTTTTAAAAGCCACCTGCATCTCTCTGTCTTTCTAAAAAGTGCCTCTAATGTAAAGAATTTAAGCTCCCTATTGAGAAATGCACCCACTTGCTCACAATTGGGGATACAGTGCAGCTCATTGTGGCAGTGAGCGTAAAGTACTTATATGGTGAATGCATGGACTAGGGAGTTTTTCTCCATTCCCTTCCCCTTGGTGGTGGTGGTGGTGGTAGAAAGTAAGAACAGAGCCTGCTTTAAGGTGAAAGAATGACAGTTCCACCCTGTTCAACAGCCAGGAAGCAAACCTCTCTAAAACACAATCTTCCCATCAATGTGAGACTGGTGGAGGGGGGAGCTTCTCTTCTCTGCCTCTCCACATCAGTCAATATAACTTCAACAGCTGGAGAGATGAGGTGCTGCCTGTAAACCTGCTGTGTAATCACATCCATTAACATTGGCTTTGTCTTGTTGTGTTAGGAAACTCCTTAGCCCTAAGATAGGTCATGCTCTTATCTCCGCTCTGCAGTTGGAGCATGGATTGGCATACATGTGCTACCTTTAATCTAGCTAGCACATATAAAAATAGCAGTGATGACATGGCAGCATGGGCAACACAAGTATGTATCCAGGGCCCCAGGCAGACTTGTACAGCTTCAACTGAAACCTGTGGTGCTGTGACTTTACTGCTATTCTCAGCACTACTAGCTAAATTAAAGCTAGTGTGGGTATGTCAGCCCGTGTGGCAATTGCACCTCTAGTTGTAGTGTAGACTTCCTCAGTGTCATTCCATTGGCTGCAGTGCACCCTGGAAGAATTTAGTTTAGTGAGTTTCATGACTTAACTCTAGGATGATTGAATATATAAATAAATAGTAAATCATTACCATATCTCTGTATGGATATTTCATACAAACATATTAATCAAATCCTTTCAGATCGGAAACATTTAGTGAAATACACTTCCAACTTCTCTGAAATGTTCTCGTTTCAGAGCATGATTGTGGAGTTGCCTTAAAGTATATTTAACTTTTCTTTTAGCAGTGGGTCACCCACAGTGGTATAGAAATGAAATCTTCTTGTGGTGGTTCTGTAAAACTCAAATATTTATACTGAATGTCTTGCTTTTGGGGATAGTTCTTGGTTTTTATCAGGGTTTTTCAAAACTTGGAGTCAGTCAACCATTTTTCAACAGTCTTTGGAAGCTGTTCATTTTTTATTTTTTTATTTTTGTTTCAAGAGTCCAAGTTCCCAAGCAACTAGGACCTGCAAACAGCTATCTTTAGTTGTATTTACGCTTCTTGTTGCCTGGGAACCCTAGCGGTGCTACACACCTCATCCCAAACATGCAGTAAGATTACTGAATGATACTTGCAGTCCCAGTTGATTTGCAGTTTAGGAATAGTCTGGTTAGAAAGACATAGGTCAGTGTTAACCTTGATTGGTGGAGAGACAATATGAGCAATCAAGAAGTGGCCATTCTGAATGTGGGAGGCTCAAAATTTACAACATGGGTTTCCACCCTGCAGAGGTTCCCAGAGTCCAGGTTAGCACGGATGTTGAATGGCAATGACCATGAATTCAGGCTGGTGAATGGACAATTCTTTGTGGACAGAGATGGAACTTTGTTTAATTACATCCTGGATTTTTTGAGGACACTCCAGCTTTCTCTGCCCACGGACTTTTCAGACTATCAGAGGCTGCAAAGAGAAGCAGACTTCTATGAGCTCCACTCCCTGGCTGATCTCCTGAGCCAGGAAAACTTGCTGAAGCCGAGACCAGAGATCTTGGAAGTGCGCTTCTTGCTCCATGAAACTCAGGCCTTTTTCCGAGTCTTTGGCTCTTGCAGCAACACTATTGAGGTACTGGCTGGACGGGTCACTATGTTTACAGAGCAGTCCTTGAGACAGAACTGGAATAATAATCCTTTCCCTTCTCAGAAGCTCCTCACTCCACTTCCTTTGGAGAGACCTTCTCATCATGACCTGGTTTTTCAATGTGGCACTGACTACGCTGCTGGTGACCAGTTGGTGACAAGGTATTCACCTTGTGTGGCTTTTCTTTCTTGAAATAATTCCAAGACCTCTAGTTCATAAAATACATTCAATTTGCTACACTATGATGAGATCATGGGATAATCAATTGATGGTTCAATGCCAAGAGGTGACTGATGTAACTCCTGTTATACTGATCTAAGATCTTGTAAGTTTCCTTAAATTTTTTAATGGATTTTTAAAAACATCTTATTCTCCTAATTCATTTGACCTTCCTCTCACCTTTTTGCTTTTTCTATATTTCTGATGTGTCTGTCCAATGGGATGGCTGAGTCACACCTAGAAGCCATTGGAAAATGCAAAATTAAAATATAGGAGAAGAACCACTTGCCAGTAGTAATATTTTGTGCTCTTGATTCTCTGCCTAGATCCTACTGTTTGTCCCATATGTAACTGCCTCGGTGTTCTGTCAGCCTAATGATGCATCCTAATGGGTTCACTTCTCCTGTAGTAGTCAGAATGTTTGATAACTGAAAACGAAGTCTTTGAGTTGTCTGAAGTAATAATGGGCAATCACTGAAGATGTTCCTAATTGGCTGAACTGATTACTAATGGTAGAAAAATACTTTATCTTAACCACGTCTCCTTTGAGATGTTTAACTCAGAGGATGCAGGGTTACTTTTTTCTGAGGAAAGAAGGAAGCTGATTTCTCTCATTAGTGAGATTGCTAAGTCTGAATGTGGGCTAATACAAGTTTTGAAAACTACAAAATGAGTTTGTCACACGTGCCATTCCCTTGTGCTCATAAGCATCCATAATGCTTGTAATGTACAAACTGGGAAAACTAGGAATAAATGGGAAAACTTGCCCACAAGAACTTTATCCAGGATAAATATGGAATAAGCTGGGGAAGGGAGGAGGATAAGATAATTAAAATGGCTACAAACGCATCCTCTAGATGTCATTTTGGAGAAGGGGAGAACAGAATGATGGAAGTGGGGATGGAAAACAAAGGTGGAGTTAAGATAATGGACTTTCCTTGTTCCTTAACTATAGATGTGGGGTTTTGTTTTGAAGAATATAAATTGTATACACTACATGAGTTTGGAGGGGGAAGGGGGCTTAAGAGCTTGGTCCTCTTGCCATTGATTTTCAATGGGAAATAGTGACCTCTATGCTAGCCACATCAGGCTCTAGTTACATACTTTATAATGGTTTTTAGAAGCTCTAAAGAGTGGCTTTATTATACAGTTGGAATTTGTCTCCATACAGGAAAAAATAACCTAGTTTATCCTCCATGGCTCTTGGAATGCCTGGATTTTTATGGACACTTCACTGGAATAGTTCCAGTAGGGTTATTCTCTCTTGAAATATATGAATTAAACAATTAAGAGAATTCTGGGTTTAGACAATTCAGTAGGGTTTATCTTTATATTTTGACTTTCTTTAGCTGAATAATTGTAAGACGGTCATCCTGGGCTTTCTCACATAGCACATATGAGATGGCACTTAAATGGTATATAAATTATAGCTTATTGGACTAACTGTAAATCAATGTAGGTTATGGCAACTTAAAAACTGAGATGTAGTCTGTTATAACCTCTTTTCTGACTTTGATTAATCAAGCTACACTTGTCTGTTGAACTGCAGAGGAAAAATCTTACAAACAAATCAGTTTTTGATTATGTGGTTAATTTATCTCTAATCAATTATTTGTGGTTGTATGGAATCTTTACCTTTTAGTGCTTCTTGTGGACCTTTGTACTTTTTTCATGAACTATGGAGCAATTCTGCCTGTCAATTTATGCTACTTTTTAACAGTATTTTTATATGAGTTTTGTTCCTTGAGGTGTCTGGATGAATTTTTAAACCTCCTGTACTTTATTCCAAGTAAAATCAGTTTACTTTAGTGGTAAATAATTTTCATAATTGTTACTAAAAAAGTTGTTGTGCAAGGCAACTTAGCAATAAACTTCCCTGTTAGTAGGGAGAGGTGCTTTGTAATGAAGAGTGCTGCTATTTAAATGAACCCAGTTTTGCTGCCCTGGCCACAGTTTGACTATTCTTATCTGAGAAACTGCTGTACGTTATGCATTATGTCAGTCATTTCGCCTCCATTAAATTAAACACAATTTAAGAGTTGTTACAATCACTTGTAACAAAAAAGTGAACTTCATAGTGGAAAAACAAAGTGTTTATTCTGTAAAAATATAACTGATCAAACTGCGAGAAATAGCTGTGCTTTTAATGAGGTAAAGAATTAAGATATTTAGAAAACTAACTAGGGCTGTTGATTAATCAGTTAACTCACATGATTAAAAAAAAATTGCGATTAATTGCAGTTTTAATCGCACAGTTAATAAAATACCAATTGAAATTTATTAAATATTTTTGAATGCTTTTCTACATTTTCATATATATATATAATATATATATATGCATTCTGTGTTTGTAATTGAAATCAAAGTGTATATTATTTTTTATTTTAAATATTTACACTGTAAAAATGATAAAAGAAATACTATTTTTCAGTTCACCGCCTAAAAGTACTGTAGTGCAATCTTTGTCGTGAAAGTGCAACTTACAAATGTAGTTTTTTTTGTTACATAACTGCACTTGAAAACAAAACAATGTAAAACTTCAGACCTACAAGTCCACTCTGTCCTCCTTCTTGTTCATCCAATCGCTAAGACAAACAAGTTTGTTTACAGGAGATAATGCTGCCCTCTTCTTATTTACAATGTCACCAGAAAGTGAGAACAGGCATTTGCATGGCACTTTTGTAGCCGGCATTGCAAGGTATTTATGTGCCAGATATGCTAAACATCTATATGCCCCTTCATGCTTCTGCCACCATTCCAGAGGACATGCTGCCATGCTGATGGTGTTTGTTAAAAACATAACGCGTTAATTAAATTTGTGACTGAACTTCTTGGGGGAGAATTTTATATCCCCTGCTCTGTTTTACCCGCATTCTACCATATATTTCATGTTATAGCCGCCTCGGATGATGACCAAGCACATGTTTGTTTTCAGAACACTTTCACAGCAGATTTGACAAAACACAAAGAAGGTAGCAATGTGAGATTTCTAAAGATAGCTACAGCACTCGACCCAAGGTTTAAGAATCTGAAGTACCTTCCAAAATCTGAGAGGGACGAGGTGTGGAGCATGCTTTCAGTAGTTTTAAAAGAGCAACAGTTTGATGCGGAAACTGCAGAACCCGAACCACCAAAAAAGAAAATGAACCTTCTGCTAGTGGCATCTGGCTCAGATAATGGAAATGAACATGCATCGGTCCACACTGCTTTGGATTGTTATCGAGCAGAACCCGTCATCAGCATGGATGCATGTCCTCTGGAATGGTAGTTGAAGCATGAAGGGACATATGAATCTTTAGCGCACCTGGCACGTAAATACCTTGCAACGCCGACTACAACAGTGCCATGCGAACTCCTGTTCTCACTTTCAGGTGACACTGTAAACAAGAAGCAGGCAGCATTATCTCCTGCAAATGTAAACAAACTTGTTTGTCTTAGCAATTGACTGAACAATCAGTAGGACTGGGAGTGACTTGCAGGCTCTAAACTTTTACATTGTTTTATTTTTGAATGCAGTTTTTTGTACATAATTCTATATTTGTAAGTTCAACTTTCATGATAAAGAGCTTGCACTACAGTACTTGTATGAGGTGAATTGAAATACTATTTTTTATCATTTTTACAGTACATATATTTGTAATAAAAAATAATATAAAGTGAGCATTGTGCACTTTGTATTCTGTGTTGTAATTGAAATCAATATACATATATATTCGATCATAAGCC